AGCCTTGGTTCCCCATTTAGGGTTCATGGGACACGTGTCAGCAGGGGATTGGAGCCCTGCTGACCAATGGCTGGGTGCCACGTGTCGCTTAGCCATAGGGCCACGTGGCTTGGGTGTTTATTACCCCAAACACAATGCTTTTTCTTTTTTGCAAGGATTTTTTGGCTGTCCCTGAAGAAAATATTTTGGCACATTCAACAGAGTTTGGAGGTTCTTTGGAGGTTTTTGAGCCTGACGAGTATTTTGGAGTAAATGTTATACGCTCATCAAATTAAGAATTCATTGATATTTGTTTACTGCTTGAGATTTGAATTTTTATGCTACGCATTATTTTTAACAGAACATTCTATTTCAGTTGAATTTTTGTTGCAAGACATATTGTGTAGAAATTACTATATTAGATTTATTTGTATGAAATTTTAATTCAAGCTATAATAATTCAAATTTACTACTAGTTTTGATAGAATTTCTATTGTATAATAAATTAACTAGTGTTATTATTTATGTTTTAACTACTATATTAATTAAAATAACATGATATATTTAACAGAACATTTAAATTAAAAAAAAAAAGAACGTTTAACTTAACCAAAAGAACATCGCATAAAATAATAAAGAACATTGCATATATTTAAAAGAACGTTTAACTTATTTTAGAGATAATAGTTAAATACAAAGCATCATCTCTTCAAATTCAAAATGCAATTTCAGATTAGTTTTTGCAACAACCCAATTTCAAGTTCAAAAAAAGTTAGAATCGACCCCCCAAAAAAACCACTTTCACTTGTTCATATGTAAGCAACACAATAGTCACTAATTTTTGCTTATTGCATTGTAATATTTTGTAGCCTTGACGCTAAACATCTGCCTTATATTTGTTGAGATCGTCTGCAATAACCTCATATGTGTACCCCATCCTAAGACTCTTCAATGCATCAAACTGTTAAACAAAAAAAAAGAATATTATTAGTGAATGTAATTAGAATAAAATTGCATGATACATTAATATATATCTTACATTATCAGCTCTAAGGCCACAATTCCATCTTCGCTTTCCAAAATACATCTCCATGTGGTGCATTGTGTATATGCCGCAATCAACATTGTTGTTTAAAGTTCTCCATGACATTTCAAGCAATTTGACAGTATAGGTTGGCATTTTCTCCCCTATCTTGATTTCGTACATGTTCAAGTACATTGCAAAGGCATCCCTCTATTATTAACAATTAAAGAACATAACAATTATTTAAAAAAACATTACATAAAATGATAAAGAACATGAAGTTTACATACTCAATTTAGGGTTCTTCGAAGTTGGATAATTGAACTATTGGTTATAGATACTCGAAGAATTTAACATAATTTTTGGAGTCTAGTTTGATAATCGAGTCAATTTTGGTTGCTAATGTGTTGCAGGGTTTGGTTTGTGGAGCGTACTCGAAATTCTCCATTGAAGTGGCTTCGGACTTTCTAAGCTTTCTCTCCTCCATTGAAGCAGTCTCTAAGGTTAGATTTGCTTCCTTAGGATTCACAATGAGGTCAACTTTATCAAGTTCTAACTCTATTTCAACTTAACTAGGGGTTTTCAATTTTTTGGAATTATTTTAGATTTTTTTGGGTCGATTTGTTCGAGAATGTTCACTTTTTGTGTTTCATGAATTGGGTTTTCAAGATTTGAGGAATACCCAGTTCAAAATTTGATGGTTTACTGACAAGCGCACTTTAGGGCGCGCTTTAGAGCATATTTTAGGATGATTTTTGGATGTATTTGGGGCCGCTTTGGCCGATTATTACCTTGTTATGCTTACGTTCCCCATATTACGTGCTTCACGGGTTTTCGGTTTGTTTTTGATGTGTTTTCAGGTAATATCAACCGAGTTTAATCGGATCCCGAGCCCTTGATGCGTAACCGAGCTAGCCTTGACCGGAGTCCGAGGAGTTAAGGAAGTTCAAGTGTCGTGCATTGATTACATAGCACAGGCAGCACGGCCGTGTTACCATAGGCACACCCGTGCTGGCCTATAAGCAAGCAACCCCAGGCAAGGCAGCACGGCCATGCAAGCCAATAGCACGGCCGTGTCAGTATCCACGCACCAGCACGGCCGTGCAGGCCATTAGCACGGTCGTGCCAGATGTTGCCCGTGCCCGTGTCAGCTTCAGTATGAGCCCCGTGCTAGAGCATATTCAGCACGACCGTGTCATTTTTAGCACGGTCGTGCCAGGAAGCTGCACGGTCGTGCCATATATAGCACGGCCGTGCCAAATTGAAGAAGAAATCCGGTTTACTTACTGACAAGCTAGCACGGCCGTGCCAAATACAGCACGGCCGTGTTGATCCAGGGTTAACTGCGCTTGACTTCTCCGAATTAGAAGACGTATATAAGGCCCGACTTTAAGAGGATTCGAGAGACAGTTTTAGAGATAGTTTTGAGAGCCTTTGTAGAGAGTTATTGGAGAATGTTCTTAGTATTAGAGATTCATTAGTTTTCTTAGAGATATTTCTAGAGATTTTAGTTTTCTTGGATTGATTTGAAGCAAGATTTGCGAAGATTCTTTGTATTATTAATTGACGACGGATATCAAAGTTCTGAACTTTTCCATTGATTCGCATCAATACAATCGGTATTATTCGTTCTTGTTTATTAATCAAGCTTTATTATTCCTTAATCAGAATTCATGTTTATATCTATTATGCTTTTGGAATTCCTTATTGCTTTGATTATGAATATGTGTGAGTAGTCTCCTAGCTAGGGTTTCGGGATGAAACCCGGCCTAGGTAATCTATGTAATTGAGGATTGATTTTGATAAACGGATTGTGATTAAATTGATTATATGCGATTGCATGTTAATTCATTATAATAGGAGTAGCTAACCTAGAATCTTGAATTTGATTGCATGATATTCTTGATTTGAACAAGAGATTGTGAATTGAGTATTTCATTATTGAATGTGGTTTGATTATGTATCGAGTAATGTTAAGTGCATGAGAAATCCAAGCTTAGTATTGCTCGTTGTCTTCCTATCACATGATATTGATTAGACTTATAGTCTTTGCATATCCCGTTTGTCTCTGTGATTCCTTGTTGCTTAGTTACCAATGGTTAGGCGGATTCCCGTTCTCCCTAGTGTCTTAGTTTATTGATTTATTCCATCTTATTAGTAGTATTTTAGAACACCATTTTCCATTGATTTCGAACTAGCTTAGGTTTAAGATTGATTTGCAATTACTCTCGTTCCTCGTGGACCGAACCTTTATTTGCCATTGTACTTGGTTATAGGTGTTCGTATAAGTATTGTTTGATTGAGAGTTAGATTGTAGCGACCATTTTAACCCTCGTCATTTACACTGTTTTTTGATGCTCAATTGATGGATCAAAACCCTAAATCTTCAGTTAAGGTTCATAAATCTCAAGTACTGTTGTTAATTTTGTGCATTTTGCTTTGATTTTCTTTGTTTCGGGATTGAGGGGAAATTTCTTTGTTAAATGTATTGGGCAGAGACATTTAAGAATATTGCAAAAGGATTTTCTATCTTAACATCACCTATGCGATTTTCTGAATATTGAAGCTATTCTCTGTGTAAAGAGTCAAAAGTATGTTATATTTTAGCTTTTAATACAGTCTTGATATATTTAAAGGCGTGCCTTATATATTTACATTAGCCCTTTGTTCATTGAATTGGCAGAAAAGATGAACAAAGTGTGTTCACGATCTTTGGTTCGATGTATGCTATTGTGTTGTTCTTGGGACTAAACAACTATTCTACTGTTATTCCATACATTACAGCAGAAAGAATTGTCGTTTATCGGGAAAGATTTGCAGGAATGTACTCCTCGTGGGTTTATTGTTGTGCACAGGTATAGAATCTATTCATGATCCCATTACTCCCACTTGAACCTTTCTACAATTGTATAGCTCTTAAAATTACAAGAAAACAGGTTCAACACACTAGTACTTTGGTATAACCCAAAAATCTTGTTCTGCTTCATCGTAAAGTAGTCTCAATCTTTTTCAATGCATACAAATGAGTATTTAGGTCTATTTTAGTTACATAATTCTCCCACTCCATATATTTTTAGTCATTTTCTTTGAAAACTTTTTTCTTTTTCCCATCTTTATTATGCGGTAATTTGGTGGGAAGGGGAAAGGGGGAGGGGCTTGCTTCCTACTCTGGTCAAACAACTTCATCTGTTGCTTTAATTTATTTTATTTTCATTTTCTCATTTCGCTTATTTAGCTGTTGATTTGCAGGTCACTGTTGAGCTTCCTTATCTTCTTACGCTAGCTCTAATATTCACACTTGTTACATATCCGATGATTGGGTATTATTTATCAGCGTACAAGTTGCTCTGGTACTTCTATGCAATGTCCTGTACTCTGGTGTATTTCAATTACTTCAATATGTTGCTCGCATCATTAACTGAACTACCAAATGGCTACAATTATAGGAGCATCTACCTACCCGTTGATGAATTTATTTGCTGGATTTTTGATACCTCTACCGATTAGTCACCTCTTTCAAATGTTCCCTTAACATACTTTAATCTATGTAACAATATGTCCCTAAATTAGCTACTGATGTTGCCAAAGAAATGGTGAAGATGATGAAAGGAAGGCAGGGACAACAGCAAGATATAGCTGATCCTTGTAGTACTTATGTGAATTTTGCACGTATCATATCTGTTTCAAGTGCTAATTCTGCTTTGACATGTTTTTCAAACATCAGATTGGATATAGTTGATACTGGTGCTACAGATCATATGGCATGTGATAAATCTTTGTTTGCTTCATGTCATATTTTGCCTAAGCCTATTACGGTAGGGTTACCAGATGGTCGTACTTAACATGTTACTCATGTAGGAACTGTGGTTTTATCTCCTGAAATTTCTCTCAAAAATGTCTTACTTATTCCGGATTTTAAACACAACCTTCTTTTTGTTGGCAGACTTGTTGAGGAAAATAATCTGTTTGCCATTTTAAAGCATGATTCATATGTTTTTCAGGACTCTACAACTAAGCAAATTAGAGCTCTTAGATCTAAACAAGCTGGATTATACAAGTTCAGTTGTTCTTCTTCTTTTCCTGTTTCAATAGTTCTTCTTCTGTACTTTCCTTACAAGCTAGTGCTTCTGTCCCAAGCTTAGTTTATTGCATGCTAGGCTTGGTCATATTTCTGTACAAATTATGTCTAAATTGACTGTTCCTTTTGATTCTATTAAGACAATTGATTTTTGTTGTGAATCATGTGTTTTTGCTAAAGCTCACAAATCTCCTTTTCCTTTGTCAAAATCTCATGCTACTTTTCCTTTTGAGTTAATACATGTTGACCTCTAGGGCCCTTATTGGCAAGCTACCATAACTGGTGCTCATTACTTTCTCACAATCCTTGATGATTGTTCAAGGATTACTAGAATTTGCACCTCTCATCAGGTTTTTGTGTCTACAAAGAGCCCAAGGTCTAATAAGTAGTATATTTGGGAGCAGCTGACAGTAGCTCATATGTAATCAGGCCGGGGAAGAAACTGACCCTGAAAAGATCCTGAAACGTGGAACAGAAATCACACTGTACATAAGAGTATATATATATATATATATATATATATATATATTATATATATATATATATATATATATATGGGATGATTCCGCTGAAAACAAGGCTTATGCTGAAAACAACAAATCTCAACCATTCATTAAAGCCCTAAGATCATTCCAATTTTACATATAATCAATTCAACCGTTTTAAAGGTCACTACATGCTAAAATAATGTAACTTTATATATATTGACGACATTTACATAGAGTCACTATATATAAAAATAACGTAATTATATCAATTTTGACGACATTTACACAAAAGTCATTATATCAATTTTACAACATTTACATAAAGGTCACTATATACAAAAATAGGATAACTACGTCAATTTTGATCATATTCTCATAGAAGTCACTATATACAAAAGTAGGGTAACTATATCAATTTTGACCACATATACATAAAGGTCACTATATATAAAAATAAGATAACTATATTAATTTTGATGGTAACCTCCAACCATAGACAAGCAACACCGTACCTAATGGACGAGCCACTTGGATTCCATACCTTGCTGCGCGGCTTCCGCATCCTCCATATTCCACCTTCCTGCCATATGTTGTACAACAACCGAATGGTTTATTGCAATTAAAAGCCAGGAAATAAATGATAAGACAAGACTTGTAGAGATTAATACTGTAGAAAGTTCCATGGAATAATCTACCCTGCTACACCAATTGGTTCATGCAGAGTCTGTACATGATACGGTCCATCAACAGGAAAGGTGAGACCGTGTATCTTATCTGCCCAACCTGAGGATCAGAAATCAAAATAAGTTCTCTGACAATAACTTGTTCTAGGGCCACAAAATATAAGAAATGTAACCTCACTATATTAGTTACTTATTTACAAGAAAAATGCCATAGCTTAGGGTAATCTTGGTTATGGAGTATTTACTTACCAGCATAGTACCGGAAAAGGCGTGCAACCATAGGTATTTCAATATTGGCAACTTGCTCATAAGGCTTTCTACTATCTCATGTTTCTAAAGCAGCAATCGCATCATTATGCTTTTCAATAAGATCTGCAAACTTCAAAAGGATTTTTGATCTTTCCTGCAGTAGATCAACGGTAAAGTTGGCTTAAGGCATATTTACAACGTAAATCGAAGTATAATTTCATGAATTTTCGGAAATTTAGTTACATAAGCAATCATCTTTGGCCATGGTCCTTCATCGAATGCTTTCCAAGCAGCAGATACTGCTCTGTTCACATCTTCGACATCTCCTTCAGCAACATCAACAATCACTTTCCCAGTCCGATTAAAAACTAAAACCTAAATTATCATTATTCGACTGTAAAAAATCCAACAACTATCCAAGTTTTATTATCAAAGATGCAAAATCAAGCTAAAATCACAAAAAAAAAAAAAAACCTAATTTACTCAAATCAACAAAAATATACACAAATGTAGATCAAAGAATGCCATACAAAGAAATTAAGTCAAATTTTGACATAATTACACTCATATGAAGCCCAAATAAGCATGAAAAAGCTCAATTAAAGCGTAATTACTGCTACATACAACTCATAATTGAATTTGTGACAAAAGAAAATCGACCCAAAATTACACAAAAAAACCTAATCTACTAAAATCAAGCAAAATCACACAAATGCAGCTCAGAACTACTCCACAAAACTGATTCAAATCAAAACTCAAAAAAATCTAATCGAATAATCAGTTTGATTTCCAAAAAAACCATAGAATATACCAAATTAAACAAAAATCTTAAACAAAAAACTCACTTTTTTGAAGCTAACGACGATATTGATGAAGATTGAAGCAAATTCTAATGGCGATTTTGATGGAAATTGAAGCAAATTCTTCTGTGTTTAGTGATTCACTTTTTTGGGAGAAGGAGAGAGTAAGAAGTGACATGGAGAACGTGAGAAGGAAGAGAGAGAACAATAGAGTAAAAAATAGAGGAGAGAGAAAGGATTATCATATATCAAGAAATAAAACCCAGCTTAAGATTAAAATATCACGCGGATATAATCTCATCCGTTGATTAAAATTCAATGGTCTAGATTATCTGTTTTTAATTTTCAGCTTTAAACTTGTTTTCACATGATCCATTCCCCATATATATATATACATATATATACATATATGTATATATATCATATATATATACATATATGTATATATATATATATATATATATATATATATATATATGTGTGTGTGTGTGTGTGTGTATATATATATATATACATATATATATATACACATATATATATGTATACATATATATATATACATATATATATACATATATATATATATATTACATATATATATATATAAATATATATATACATATATATATATATGTATGTATGTATGTATATATATATAAATATACTACCTCCGTTTTTTTTATGTGCAACTTTTGTCATTTTAGTCCGTTCACTATTATGTGAAACTTTCTTTTTTCATTCTATTTTGGGTAAACAAAAACCCTAAAAATTACAAATTTTCCTTTACTTAAAAATTCAGATTTTCTTAATGTTACCCTTTTTTATTTAAACACAATAACTTTTTTGTCTAATCTAAAATAATTAACCTAATTTTACCCACCCATTTACTCATCTCTCTACCCACCAGCCACCACCCATTCACCCTCTTCATCTCTTTCACCTTCACCCTCATCCTCTTCATCTCTTTCACCCTCACCCTTCATCTCTTTCACCCTCCTCCCTCAAAAGTCACGACCACCGCCTTCTCTTGTCTCCATTCTCTCATTCCTTGTTTATTCACCACGGCAGATCTAGAACCTTCTCCATCTATTCCGCCGCCTCCTCCGTCGTCGTCGTCTTCGCAATTTACCCTTCCTCCTAAACTACCTCAACATCAACAACAACAACCGCCTAAGCAACAACAACAACCTCCTTGGCTTATTTAGCGTCTCCGGTATCTTCGCCTTCTTCAGTCATCACTGGAAGATCTTTTGGAATTTTTGAACAACAACATCATCAACAACAAACGCAGCTTCGAGGATTAATTAAGCCTTCTCATGTCATTTTTGGAACTTCTTCTCCTTCTATTGCTGGAAATAATGCTTCACAAACTCCGAGAACTAAGAAAAGGTTGGTTTTGTTTGGATTAATTTTTCATATGAATTTGTAGATTGGTGTCAATTTTAATGGGTTTTCTTTTGATTTTTGTAATACAGGAAGAATCTGATGAAGAAGGTGTGTCATGTTCCAGCAAAAGGTCTTTCCTCTGATAGAGGTGGGTTTGAGGGGTGGGGTGGTCTGGGTTGGAGGTGGTTAGGGGTGGTGGTGGAGGGGTATGTTAGAATTCTGGGTTTTTTGGTTAGGGAGGGGGCTGCCGGAAAAAGGAGGGAAAGACGTGAGGGTGGTGGTGGTTTCAGGGAGTTGGTTGTGGTGGTTTCGGGGGGGTGGTAGTGGTGGTGGAGAAGTCGGCGGTGGTTTTGGTGAAGGCGGCTGTGGTGGTGGCTGGGTATGGTGGTGGCAGTGGGTGGTTTGATTAATTAACCAAACATTCTCTCTCCACCTTAATTACATACTCCTATAATATATTAATCACCATTATACTATCTTAATCTTTGCTCTTCAATCTTTTGCCTCGTGAACCGCAACTTGCCCCCAAGTTGCACATAAAAAAAACGGAGGTAGTATATATATATGTACATATATATATATATGTACATATGTTTATATGTATATATGTATATATATATATGTATATATATATATATATATATATATATATATACATATATATATTGATTAGGGGATTTTTATCCACCAATCACCGTCTGACAAGTGGACCAACCAGGTTCCGCCACGTGTCCTTCACGTAGGCCAATAGGAGCCTGCCACGTGTCAATCACAGATACGTCCTCTACGGACCAATTGAGACACGCCATGTGTCCACCCATGCCAAATGGGAAAACCGGCCAACAAGGCCCAATCCTGTTTAGAGGCCCGGTCAGCCCTAGGTTTACCCTAAACCTAGAGAGTGGCACGCTTCTCAAGACTATAAATACTTAATTAATCCTCATTAAAGAGGATCAAGCAATTAATCTCACCTGAAGAACAGAACAGAAACGTTACGGAACACACTAATAACCGGCTGATCTCGCTAACAAAGCAGATTACCAACATTAAACACTCTCACCTAGAGAGATCTTATTACTTTAATTTCCGTATTAATTACTCCTTAATCAGGTACTAACTTGACCGTTGGAGGCGGAGCTCTCAGGAGTCTCCGTTATTTTGCAGGTACAGGCGTCCGGTTCCAGTCTCGGAATTGTAACTCTCCCGCAGGACATCAGAAAACCCCGAAACATTTGGCGCCGTCTGTGGGGAGAGTACTTCAGAGATGGCATCCAAGTCTGTACCGACTCCTGAAGAGAGGCGTCCCCTAAACGACCCTCAAGTTCAGTCGGACCATGACACCGAAAGTGAATTTGAAGTTGAAACTCATACAGCTCCAGACGGGACCCTAAGGGCCCGACGTACCCGTCATACCGAAAGGAGGGAACGGGAGCATCTTCAAACAGGAAGCGGGCCAGCAGGCGCACCGCCTGCTCGGCAACAGCCGACTGATGGGTCTGCTCCCATCACAAGAAACGAACTCATGACCTTCATGAGGGACTTCAAGGGAGAGATTCAAGAGTTGATCAACAAGAAGCCGCCTGCTTCAGTCAAGGAGCAGTCGGCCAAGAAACCTTCCACTTCACTGAAGAGGAAGCCAGTTCAAGGGCGAGAGGCGACTCCTCATCCTAAATCTAGGAAGCGGGAGCCACCTGCCCTTGATTTCACAAAATTTCGTTATCCTATAGGAAATAGGAAACCGGTTCGTCATATTCAGGCGGACGGGTCAAAGCAAACGTTCACAGATGCTCGGCTACTGCTAGAGCAGAAGAAGAGTGACCGATTGTCAGAGTCGGCTTCTACTTCAGACTTTCAAGACAGTTTGCGAAATGCCTCGATGAGGCATACTCAGTCGTACCATGAGAGTCAGTCAGGCGGCACCTCCCGTCAGTCCGGCTTTCATAGTGCTCAGGCGGTACCAAACTTACCATTTGTGCCGCAACAACAGTATTTTATGCAGCCACCTCCCTTTGGTGGACCTACAGCAAAAAACATCCAACCTATGGACTGGCAGCTACGGTTGCTTAGACTTGGTGAACAGCCGTCGGCCTTCTCCAAGGAAATTACTGAAGCCGCTCAGCCGGCCAAAGTGAAAAATGTACTAGTAGGCGCCTATGACGGCACTACTAACCCAGAAGACCATCTGATGGCATTCACCAACCTGATGTACCTTCAAGGGTTGGATGATCCCACTTGGTGCAAGTGTTTCCCAGCGACTCTCAAAGGAATCGCACAGCAATGGTTCGGCAACCTACCGACTGGTTGTGTAAATAGCTTCAGGACGCTTGCTTACTTATTTGCCTCCAACTTCGCCATGAACATCCCTGCGAAGAAAACGACCCTTGATTTGGGAACAATTCAGCAGGGCGAGAAGGAGGGGCTTCGCTCTTACATCAGGCGGTTCAACCTGATGAGAATACAGATTTAAGGGTTACCGGATGAGGTAGCTTATACCGACTTTTTTAGAGGTCTCAAAGATGGGTCTACCTTCAAATTTGATTTGGTTCGAAAAAGGGTGGCGACTCTTCAAGAGGCCTTGATTGAAGCAGAAGCCTATATACAGGCGACTGATCTGTGTACGATAAAACAGTCGGACGGGAAAAGGTTCGACAAAAGAGAAGGACGACAGAAACAGTCGTCAAACAAAGATGAGAAAAGAAAAGAGGTCTGGGCGGCTGATTCCTCTAAACAGCCGGCCCAGAAAAAGAAAAAAGAATTCAAACCATACTCCCCAAAGTATGTGTTTAACAAGGATAACCAGTTTATCCTAAAAGAAATAAAGGGACGGATCTCAATTGAGAAGCCGGTCCCCATGAAGGGTTCTGCAAACAACCGGAACCAAGATAAAATCTGTGCTTATCATGATGACGTTGGTCATCACACCAATGACTGCATCAGTCTCATGCGGTACCTAGACCGCCTGGCTGAGCAAGGTGATCTTGACACTTATGTCAAGAAATCTACGGGGAACACTTCCTCAAAAAAGCTGTCGGCCAAAAAGAATCAACAGGCCGACAGCTCCGATACAGATGATGCAGTCGTCTACACCATTGCAGGCGTCTTCTCAGGAGGCGGCCCCACTATTAGGGGTAACAAAGATAATATAAGGCGGTTAGATGTAAATTCCGTTCACCAAGGACGGCCGTCCAAATATACATTTCCTGAGATTGTCATCACTGAAGAGGATCTAGGAGGGGTAAGGGGGCCGCATGACGACCCTCTCGTTATTGAATGTAAAGTGGCCAACCAGAGAGTTGGCCGAATCCTCATAGATACCGGGAGCTCCTCAGATCTCATCAGCAGCAAATGTCTGTCGAAACTGAAATATCAGACTGACTGCATACATCCGGCCTCCCACCCTTTAATAGGGTTTGGAGGAGGAGTCGTCCACCCACTGGGACGAGTAGATTTACCCATTCTCCTGGGCGAAAAAGGGGAAGGACGACACATGGTAGTCCGGTTCCTAGTAGTAGAGGAACTCTCGGCCTACAACATGATTCTGGGTCGACCAACCCTGAATAATTCCAAGGCTGTTATAATCCCGTCTCTTATGTTGCTCAAGTTTGAGAGGGATAATGGAACAGTCGGCTCCCTAAGGGGAGATCAGAGGAT